AAACAAAAAAAATGTAGGGGAAATTTTCACTGCAACAAAATGGGATAAAAGAAAAAGAAAAGAAAAAAAAGAAAAAGAAAGAAATGTAACAGATCCAAATAACAACTAAAGAAAATGATTATGATCGAAAATTTTTTTTTTACAAATAGAAAAAAAGGGTTGGTAATTGGCATGGATTCGGAATGAGAAGAGAATGAAGAGAATAAGAGGTTCAACCTCTCCTACCCAAGTATATAATACAACAAAAAGTTACTAGGTAACTAGGGTGTCAAAATGCTAGTGGTTAACAAGATAGTATTAGCAAAGGAAATTAAGGGAAAACGGTATTATTAATTAAGAGTAGCTAAGATAATTTTTAAAAAGAAATTATTCTTTTTTTTTTTGAGTTGAATTGCAGGATGAAATAGAAAAAAAAAAAAAACAAAATTTTTTTGGTTTTTTGAAAGAAAATGTCTAACACGGAAATCCCGTACTACAAAAATCCCACCCAAATATTTACTTTTAAATTGTCCAACAGAAATAGAATGCTATGATTAGTGAATATAACACTTTCTCGGAAATTGATGATATATATACTAGGCTTTTTTTTTAAAGGTTTCTTGATCCTTTACAAAAGAAGCTTGTGTGAATAACAACCCACCCAAGAATGACAAAAATATTACAGAAATAAACGAAAAAATGGGTTCGAAAAAAAAAAAAAAAGAATTTTTTTTAGTTTTTTTTTTAGTTTTTGCCTTTTTTTTTTTGTTTTTGTTTTGGTATAATCAATACACCTCAAAGCTGAATGCCTCATCGCACACTCTCGTTGCTAAACATGAGCTTAGAACCTTGGTCCATCTGAATCTCTCGCTCAATAGTAACTGTTGTCAACCAACTGTGGTCGTCTCACCAACTTCACCACGTGGAATCGATGCGACGGCGGCAAGGACGAAGCATACCGTGGCGGGGGGATATTGACGAGTTGAATATTCTGCTTGGGAGAGACAGGAAACGGAATCAATATCTTTTGCACCGCCTTCTGCGGTTGTGATTGATTCGAGTATCCTCTTTGAGATTGATAATATTGTTGATAATGCGTTTGCTCGGCTGCATGAAAGCCATCCCGGTGCAGCTGTAACGGAATGAGAATTTGACCGAATTCATGCTTCGACGGATACTCCGACTGTTGCTGACGGTAATGCTGTTGACGTTTTTGTGCGTATTTCTGTTGCTGTTGGTAATGCTGTTGCAGTTGATAGTTCTGTTTCTTGTTATAATTCATGTTATTCGGTCTTCCCCGTTGCTGATACTGCTTCGGCAGTTTGTTAATATGAGGAGTTGTTTGCATTTGAACGTGTTGGTAAACAGGTGAAGAAGGAGGGGAGTATGGTGGCGGGGGAGAAACAGGTCTCTCATACTCATCCAACGCCTCATAATCACCAAGGTCATTGCTGCTGACGGTCGCAGCCGGATTGGTGTAAATGCCGTTGCCAACAGCGACAGCGTTAGGTCTCGTCACGTTAATCAGCTTCACGCGGACACCGTTACCACCGACGCCGACATGATTGTTGGCAATCTTGCCGCATCCGATGTTCATGTTGGCCGAATTCCTTTTGGCCAACAGCATTTCCTCGTAAGAGGCCATCTTGCGTTCAATAAAGGTATTGATCAACACCAATTTGCGCAGAGTGTTGGTGTCCTTGCGTATGGTGGTCTGATTGTTGGAACTACCGATGGACTTTATCTTCACAATAGAGAGTTTGTAGATATAGGTAAGATCAATTGGAGAGCCCATTTTTGGTATCAGATGATAGAAGAAAAAGAAAAAGAAGAAAAAGAAAAAAAAAGTGTAGAGAAAGTGAGGTAATGAGGAAAGAAAATGTGATGAATGTGATTATAATAAGACCAAGTTTGTTTTGACCAGGTGAAAGTAGAATGCAGCAATGAGTAGAATGAAAAAAAAATTTTTAAGAAAAAAAATGATGGGAAAGAAGGAAGAAGAAGAAAAAAAAAGGAATTCTTTGTCAAAAAAGAAGTCGGGACAAAACAAAGCCGGCTTTGTATTTATTACAATTCTGCAAATTGTGCAGGACCTGATGGGGATCGAGTTTGAATCAAGTAATTACAAAAAAGAAAAGGATGAAACGGGACCGTCACTACTAAATCGAAGCGGTCGACGTCGCTGCTTATGACAAACGAAATTCTATTTGTTCTTCCGAGAAAAAAAAAACTTGATTTTCACTTCAGAAACTTGTTCAAAATTCCGAAGAGCGAAGGACACAAGGCGAGAGCAGTCGAGGTGAGTAATGAAACCTAGAGAAGAGAAAAAGAAAAAAAAAAATGAACTTTTTCCAATCAATCCGACGATAGCGAGATTTGATCGGTGTATATAAGATGTTTTCAGTGTGATTTGCGACAATGAGATAGCCCAATTGAAGATTAAAAGTTTCGAACAAATAATCCTACGAGGCTTTGTTTTTTTTTTTTGCTTGCGGTGAGTGTATATATATGTATGTATATATAGTAAAATAGAAATAGAAAAATAATATATATATATATATAAAAATAAATTGAAGATGGGGTGTTTAAGTTATTGGGGAAGAGAAAGTTTGCAGGGGGGAAGAGGACAAAAGGTCCTTTTCATAAGAATAATGGAAACGGTGAGAGAGAAAAAAAAAAAAAAAGAAAAAAAAAAGATTTTATTTATTTATTTTTATTTTTATTTTTTTTTTTTTCAAGTGTTGGAAGTTGGGAGCTTTGTATTTATACAAGTTTCCCTGTCATCGTTTCCTTCACGTCCTACACGCACAGTGCGATTGATTGATGTAGAAACTACTTTAATTTAGTATTATTATTACTATTACTATTATTATTGTTGTGGGTTATTATTAAAAGAAAATACGTACGTACAAACATGCTAAACATAAAGCACAAAATATAATAAATATATATATATACTGTATATATATATATATATGTAAATTTTAAAATGAGGATAAATATAAAAACTTTTTTTTAATATAGTGCATATCTATTAACATATGTGTGCGCACATAGGGTGCACAGTATTATTTGATTCATTTGACCTGATTTAACCAACTCGTAGTACACATTATAAATAACGACGCAGTTTTATTATTGAGGATTATAAAGGGAAAATTAAAATACAAATTTGTACGTGTGAGCGTTAAGCATCACAATCGCGGATTTTAAATGTGAGTACGCTTTGGGGGAGCGTGTCTAAGGATCGAATGTGACGGTGTTCTAATCAATCGTTGACATGTGAGCCATGAGTGTTAGTTGATGAATGCGACCATTGCACACAGCGAGGGTGGCCGAACGAACCTTTCCCTCGGTCAAAGGGGTGCTCTCGGGGAGCCCAAAGACGACGACAAAGGTGACACCGACCTCGATTGTAGGAGGATGAAGATTGACGAGCGAACAAGGAAGGAAGGAAGGAAGGAAGGAAGGAAGGGATATGGTGCAAATAAGGTGTGAGGTGATTGTCGAACATTGGTTTCAGAAATCTTGAACACGGGGTATTTCTTTTTATGTTAATTCAGATATGAAACAATATCGAGAGATTAAAGTTTAATAAAAAATCTCGGTAGTGCTAGTATAATAATGCTATCACGCACGGCAGATTCTTTATGAAGGGGTGGTTTAAAAACAAGTCATGCATCTCGTCAATTCTCTTGCCCCCCATGTTCCCCGTGAGAGATTTGTAAAACCGGTGAATAGATGAATTAATTTTGTGTGTGAGCGAGTGCGGACGGACGATGGAAGTGTGTGGGTACACGTATAACCAGTAAAGTTCGGGAATGAACAAGACGTTCAAAAGGATGGTGCGATTAGTGTCAAGTGGTTGACCGGTTGGGAGGAAGAATTACAATTGTTCACCTAATGCACCTATGCACACAGTACATAATTATTTACTGGAATGTGTTTGCGAACTCGTAGGAGGTGATCAATTGGCACTGTCACCACGTGCCACACCGCACATTGGTTCCATTGCGTTAACATTGATGCGGTGATGCGGTGACGATTTTGCATTAAGGAAAACAAAGTGCCCGGTTATGGTAAGTAAGGGTATTTATTCGACACGCCGATTGGTATTCACACATTAATAGATCGTGGTGCGCACACAAAGAGTGCATCCAAAATGTCCTTCTTCTCGTAGTTGACCCAATCTAATCAGCCTTGCCACAATCCTTATTTGCAATTTTGACATGAGGGCACATCGTAACACCGTTCCCTCAGAATCTACCTTGCAATAATTCGACCAATTTAGGATAACGATTGTTTGGCATTTTCTCTCAATCGCTTACAGATTGTTGTCGATTTGGTCAGGTGGGATTTTGTTTTTTGTTTTTTTTTTTTCCTTTGCACGGATATATCGCAACGACACTAATCTGGCCTTTGTGCTCCAAACCAAGTAGCGATCCAGCACGCGTGCGTGTTGTCTCTCTCTCTCTTGATTTTTTTTTTTTTTTTTCTTTCTTTTCTTTAATTCGCGGCGTTAATTAAATCCATGCATATTTATTCTTTATAATGGGCGATTTAGATGGCATCGTTATTGTATTTTCTGCAGAATGCCTTCTAATTATAAATTTATTAAATTATTGACATTGTACAGTATATCATGCAAAAAGACGAATGTTTTCATGCACGTACATTACATGAAATTAAAAAAATAATAATAATAATAATAAATCAAAGATTTTGGTGGTGGTATTTTGTTTTTCGAGAATTCACTTATTTTTAGAATTTTGCCAAAAATATCATTCAATACCGTCCGGGAAGCGGGCTGCACGGTTAAAACACGAAACCAGGCACCAATCTACCCTAGGTATCAGAAGACTACTCGAGCAGAAAAACCTACGTTACCGCTTTTGCTCACCGACCAATTGCTGATTGGTTGTTTTTGTTTCCACATTTGTTTTTCTTGATTTGAATTCCGGTTATCCATCTCACAACGTTCGGCATAAATAGAATCCCGTCAATCGGATTCAAATTATCGTTTCAAAAAATGGGATCCCCGGATCTGCGCAAGGTAAAAAAAAAGTGGTGCGATGGGTGGATCGTTTCAAAAGTTTCCTAGGTTCAATGGATATTTCTTTCACCGTCGGCATTGTACGTCCCGCCACCTAACCAAGATGGTGGATGGCTGCGCACTAATAATTGGAATGAGAAGCATGGGCAGTGGTGGTGGTGATGGCTCTTCTCTACCATGAACCAAGTAGAATGAGGTGCGATGTTTGCGAAGGTATTCATGCGCGGTTAACAAGAATAGCGGATGGAGAGATATCGTGAACCGTACACCGATCGCGGTACGTTTCAGAGATTCACATAATCCACTTGCTATTTGCGCACACCAATTATTCGTGCATTGGTACGCTTCCAAAAATCGAATTCTTGCTATGCCAAAGTATAGCAAGGTTGAGTTACGTGGTTTCAACTAGTGAATAGGGTCATCACTTCTTCGCTCACACCATTCGCGCGCGCTTCCTTCCTTCCTTGTACGGATCTTGGTAAACGTATGTTCTTTATCCGTTACACCCCTTTATTCCGCATTTCCGTTTCGTGAGTGGAATTTTATGACACACACGGAGCCCCTTCGACTCTATTGTGTCATATCCTTGTAATTGTATTGCCCTTTGTTGGCCTCTTTTTGTGTGATCCCGGTATCTCGGTTACAGTGTACGGCGAGACGAGATCGTCTACTTGTTGTGCAAATCCGTCTCTTTGTCCATGACAATCTTCCGTACGTGAAACATTTGTACGACCAACCCAAAGAAGCGGTGCATGAATTGTGGTCAATTCACACCGTATGGTGTCATCCTCCCTATCAGCTGCGATATGTAAGAAAGCGATGAAAGTATGCGTGTGGGAGAGCTCGCCTCCCGTTGATAGAATGAGCAAAGTGCGAAGGGGCGTTGCGTCAAGCTGGAACCGGTGAACTCTCGCCACCACCCTGCCCTGTCAACACTCATGCGCATACATGGTAAACTTCTTATTATACAGTGCATACGTAGGGTGCATCATAAAAACGTTAATAAATTTAAATTTAAATACGAGTGTATACGCACCTGATTATTTAAAGAAAGAATGATCTTACTTAAAAAGTCATTTCATGGATCAATCACATTATCATCGTTTATTATTATTATTATTATTCCTCAAAATTTGTATTCCTAAATTCACAAATAATATTATTAATACGAAATTATTAGAATATCTACGGTATGTTTGTGTGATTTTTTGTGAACAAAAAATATACATACAGTAGCTTGAAAGTCTTGCACCACGCCATAGGTGAGACGCCACCAAAAAGGTCAAGGTGTCATCCATTTTCCGTTGGAAAAAAGAAAAGGAAAAGAGAAAATTTTCCTGTTTGCGATCACAAAACGATCAGGATGCAAGGGGTGGTGTCATATTAAGGGATGCTCTTTTGGCCATTTATTACCTAGAGTTAGTGTCAGGGCACAACGACGTCGATTGAATTTGTTTATGGTAAACATTAATATTATTTGCATTGGGGCGCATCAATATGTTCCTATTGTGCAAAGTTCGAAAATGTATCCGTTTTAAGGGATTGAGAGCAGTGTAGTGTATTAGGGGATGAGGTGAATGTGTGGGTTGGGTTAGCGGTAGGACCGCGCACATCTTTCCTTAAAAGAACATCGATCTGAATGAGAAAAAAAGCACAATCACAATCTTGACGAGGTGGGGAAATAGGAAAGCGTTTGTAAATAAGGTGCGAATGATTGTGTGAGAGCAAGGAAGTGTACACAGTCAGAGAATTATTGAGGGTGTGCAGGGGGGAGGAGGTTGAATCTTCTAACTCCTTTTGATCGATCATTCGTTCGTAGAAAGATAGCGGTGGCAGGTTAGTTCAAGGTGTAACTCGTGCCTAATCAGGAATCTCTTTGCGATAACCCGATAATCCACCTTCCGCGTAAACATTCATCTTCGAACACGTGAGGATGAATGTTTGGTGAATGAGGGTGAGGGCGGCATGTTTGCTTCCGCCCATTGTCATTCACCGGCGTCCCTCTTTATCATCCATTCTTTCTGATCTTTCCATTCTCTCTATTGTCCTTCACTCGGTCCCAAAAGGAAATACATGTATGAGACTCTAAATACGGAATTGCGCACGCAGTTGACCTTTTTCGTCGAGTCCACGGTCGCACAGGGAAGGATTAACGGTTAGATCGGTGACTTGAGGGATGCAAGCCTCCGCGAAATCCTTGGCTGAGCTTTCCTTTTTCCATTCTGTGATGCGAAAATATGTAACGCGTTCACCTAATCTTTTCCCCGTCCTCTTCGCCACAGCCATATCATTCTTTCACACGTTTGTTCACACACGAATGTTCTCCTTCCGAGATGACAAAAACATCTCATGACAACCTTTTCATAATCACCAACAACAATCGGCGTCAACCGTAGTACAAACATCAAGATGTGGTGTGGTTCCAACAATATATTCTGTATTTCTCAAACGTTTACGAGTATGCTTAAATTTTAAAAAGACAATCGCAAAATTTTGTCGTCCTCATTACCTAAAATTCTTCTTGTTCCATTATGCTCGGACCGGTCGCTTCCCCATCGATAAAGTTTGTCCATCAATAACATTTCCAAAAATAAGGTTTGCATCACACCGCAAAAAAAAAAAAAAAAAAAACAAACATCGTATCGTCAAAATTGTAAAGATTCTTTTCAAAATTTTTAACTATTGTTGCGTGAAATTATTGTGTGAAATTATTGTACAGAGTAGTGCGTCAATCCCTTTCAGTCAGTCGACATATTGTGTAAGTGTGCACCAAATTCCACAATTTAAATTACGTACGCCCAATCCAGCTCCAAGATTACCAAGACATCCCATCCCGACGGCTTGACGTAATGTCTGCACGTAAGTTCCGTGGACGTGCGTGGCCGGAAAAACAATTAATAATTCTTTTTTAAAAAAAGCCCATGGTTTTTCAATTGCATGACATCATTACGACTCTTTTGTTTCATATTCCTTCCGTGCCGAGGAGCTCAATTGGATGGTATTTAAAAAATGCTTCCCAAGATCATAAAATAAAATTTCCATATCAAGGGAATTCTCAATAGGGAGTTGAGCGATTAATATGGCTAGAAACAGAAAAAAAAAAAAAAATATTCGAAACATCTCAGGAGAATCTCGTGAGTACAACTCCCTTATCATTCGAACATACACACGGTGATTAAGCCATCCATCCATCCACCTACGCACCGGGTGATAATGCTCCTCAAGGCGTACCATATTCGATGGCAACTATCACCACTTGGTAATTAATTGCGTTGGATCAATTGGATCATCAGGTCAGCGTTACGCGAAAGTTTTCAATAGGAGGCCACCACCTAAATCGCTCCCATTTTTTACGTACGCGCGTAACAATTTTTATTCAATTCACCTAAAGTTCACCCCTACCCACGCATGCTATGCCGTGGACGGCGATTGAACCTCAGATATTACGTAGGTATTGCGGTATTGCACTTCAAAGTGCGCAGTGCGCCGAATATGCAAGTATGCACTTCATGCGCAACATGGGAAAAAAAAAAACGACTGGCATTTCCCTCCGATAAGAATAACCTTCATTGTTCATTTTTTTTTCGGCTCGTACACGCACGTACGAGGCATCTACTTTGAAAGTATATACGTACACATTTCTTTACCTTTCTTTTTCAGAACGTAAACATCAATTGAATTTCTTTGTCCTTGGAATTCTCGGCATTTCCTACTGTGGTACAGTACAAACATGGCGCCGTAGAAGTGTGGCGCGGCGAACACGTGTGTAACCGCTCATTTGACAAGAACGTCACATGAAATTCGAATGCACCAAGGAAAAACTTTGTGTAAATATGATGAACCTGTTTAAATCTAATAAGCTTGTTTAAAACTAGGATGCAATGTTTGTGATGCCTACAAAACTTTACCGCCAAAAAAAAATTCTTTCTTTTTTAACAAAGAAGTTCACCCGAAAGAAACAACGAATCTTTAGTTGGTTGTCAAAGGATGGAAAGGATAAACTTAAAAATCTTGTTTCTCTGGATGCAGTCAAATCAAATTAATTGTATACGTGTTTAAGGCGACCACATATGATGGCGATGATGATGATGATGATGATGATGATGATGATGATCCTGTGTTCGCCATAGTTTCCTCGAAAACATTATGTGCGTACGTAATATAATGTTCAGTTTTTAAGGGCATTGTACCTCGGCATTTGACGAATGATGGTCGTATCTGTTGAAAGAAGAATCTCAAATGGCACCATTCCCCACCTGCAATCCATTTACATTTCATCTACCACCTTCTAAATATCTCCGGTATGAATATCCTTTTTTCCTTTTTGACAACGTTAGATGTAAAAAAAAACTTACCACACTAACCAATCGGATTCGGCAAATTTGAGATCTTAAAAAAGGACGCAGTGCGTATGGGCTACGGCTACGTATTGTATGTTAATCAAGTGCTGCGCAGGCGGGTGACACAATTGGTAATTTGATACACGCGAAAGGTTAAATATAATCACGCAGCTGACACCACCATTATTCGCATTTTGGTCGATTTTATTTTTTTCGTAGAACAAGAGTGAGATCTTACAAACAAACGCGTCGCAAAAAAAAAAAAAGATCTTACGAAGTAAGAATGCCGTATGATACAATGATTGGCGAGAATAATCGAATCAAGTGAATCTAGAGATCGAAATCCACAAAGATCAAGGATTGGTGATATTTTTGGGGGGGATCGATTGATCTTCCATCATCACTGATTCATGTGGAAAAAATTCATGTTTGTTGCTGCCAAAGTGAAATTCATTCCTGGTTATAATACGCGACGATCAAGAGCGAGGGCAATGTTGGTGAACAAGTTTAAGTTCATTCTGTGTGGAATTTGATATCAAATTGTAGAAGATATAAAATTTAAATATTAAGCTCGCGTGTTTCTGTTTAAAGCTATACTTTGTTATTTCTCGTAATTACGCTGAATGTTAAACGTAATAAATTAGTAAAAACTATTGATATTACAAAAAGATTTTTCCGGAAACATGATAAAACTAATCGTGTTAATTAATTTCTACCATTATACAGTAACTCGTATGAAAGAATGATTTTATAAATTCTTTTTCATAATTCCTTCCTTTCTTAAAATTTATCTTATAAAAAAGTTTTCATGTCAAAAAAGTTTTTTAATTCATAAACAACATAACGAACCTCCTTATAGGAATAAGCTTTTCTTATAAAATCTCATTCTTTAATCCTGCAGAACAGTTGAATCAAGTAAAAAAAACTCTTTGTCAAATGAATAGGCAAGATTTCTTTCATTTGATATAATACTGTAACTTTAAATAACAAGTTTGCTTTTTTTTTTATTTTTTATTTTTACTGATTTGGGCTCTTCAAAATTATTATGCAAAAAAAATGACTGTTATAAATTATTAAAATCAAAAAAAAAATAAAAATAAAAAAAGATAAACAACTTTTGTTTAAACAATTATTGTTTTTTATGATATACAGTATACTATAAATATTTTGAATATTATGAAAACTTATCAACTATACTTTACAAAAGAAAATCTTTGACAATAAGTATATTAAATAAAAAAAAACATAAGACAACTTAACAAGTAATTAAAAATAAGTTTAAAAAAATCATGTCTTAAAATTTGGTTAAATATAGTATATACATATTTAAAACTAATTGTAATAAGTTTAAGAGAAATCATTTAAATTAATGAAGTTGATATTTAAAAACATTTTGCTTTTAATATCTTTGAATTAATTATTCAAAATTTTAAGACCACTAGTCAAAATTATGTCATTCGGCAGCTGAATTATTGCCAAATTTGATTAAATTTAATAATAAAAATATTGCCGAATTCTTTTCAATTGCTGCCACTTGGCATATTACATTTCAGCAATAAAGTAGTAATCAAAAATTCAGCAATAAAAAATTCGGCCATTAAAAATTCAGTAATTAAAAATTCGATAATCAAAAACTCGGCAATTAAAAATTTGGCAATCAAAAATTCAGCATAAAAAATTTGTCAATCAAAAAATTCAGCAATCAAAAATTTATTAATTAAAAGTTTAACAAAAAATTCGTCAAAAATTCAATAACTATTCAACAAAAATTCAT